AAACTGGACAAGCAGATGGCGAATGCTTGAAGTGGGCAAAGAGGGAAGCAGAAGTCCATGGTGAATGTATCTGTAGCCACAGGGCCGAACTGCAGCACCACTTTGTCAGCTGTGAGAAAAATCAGAATTTGAGCCTTAGCCACAGCCCCTCAGGCCCCCACTTCTAAGATGCAGACACGCAGCCACCTAAGCTAGGAAGCTGTTATAGTTTGGGTCTAGATGTCCCCCCAAAGCCTCATGTGGTCATAGGCCTGATCTAGAGTGTGGGAAGCTGGAATTGATTCATGATGCAATGCTAGGCTCAAGGGTACTAGGATTAAGGGGGTGAGTGTTATCCACCCTAAGTAGTCTGAACAAGATAAGAGGGGCAGAGAGACGCTGTTAACTCTCCTTACCATTGCTGCCTTGTGTGTGCCATGTTGTTTCTGCCCTGGCATCCCTGTTTGTCGCCCCTGCATTGGAGTTGGCTGATTATGGATTGAAACCTCTATGAACTGTAAGCCAAATAAACCCCTTCCCCTTTAACTCCGGGTGTCTGGTATTTTGGAGAGAGAAGTAACGCAGAGGCGCTCTGGGGACTGTGATCTACAATTCCCAGGAAGCATTGCAACAAGAAGGCGGCCTAGGCAAGCTCTCAAGTGCTGATGGGAGTAGTAGTTCTTAGGCGCTGATGCCCCCTGACCCGGGAAAGGCAGATCCCAGGAGCTCACGCGTGTTGGGGTTGATGATCTGTAAGTTCTTGACCGAGGCTCGAGTCACTCGCCTGTGAAAATTGAGCATGAAGGCGTCGCTCTCATCGCTCCACACCAGTGGTTTGTTTTGCAGCAGGACCAGCCCCTGCCTGACGCCCCTTTGGAAGCGACTCAGTATGGATTCGTCTTCCTTTGAAGGTAAAGTAGGGGGCGTGGCGCGTTAGCCTCCACCTGCCATCTTTACCCCTTAGAACACTGGAGTTTTGTGCGTAGTCTTCATTCCCAGGCACAAGGGTCTGGCAGAGTCCCCCAGACTTGGGAATGGGATGTGCAGCCTACCAGCCCCCTCCTCTCGGCAGCTAGGACGCCAGCTTCTTGTCCTCCGTGAGAGATTTCCGACCTTCGGAACTTACGGTTTCTGTCTGGACCCTGATTCTCTGGTTGTGGCTGTTGATTTCTGGGATGATCACAGTCATTTATCGAGGCCCCCGGGCCCCCCAGACATTGGGCTCCTGGGAGTATTAGATTCCAGTTGTGCTGGCTCTGTCTCCTCTCCCACCCCGCCTCATTCATATTCCTTCTCAGTCTCCCTCCCCTACCCCCTCACACTTCCTTGCGGGGACACTTAAATAGCACACAGCTCCCAGCTCCTGTCTAATCTGGGTCTTATCCAGGTGCGAGTTTTTCTCTTCAGGATTCAACCCATCTTCGAAAATTACAAACCTGGTGCCCAAGATATTGGACCTGACTTTGCCCACAAAGTTGTTCCCATCCCGGGATAGGTCCATTGGGTCCAAGGAGATGAGATAATTGGAGGTTTTGCTCCACTTTCTCTTTCCCAGCCAGGAGGAAGTGCTTCCAGCTGTTGGCTGCCTCTAGGTAGAGGTAGTACACGGGGAAAAGGCCCTTCTCCACGCCCCTCTGGTCCCGGCGGATGCAGCACTGCACCCTGCGGCCCTCCTGTGGCGGCCGAAGCATGTACTCCTTCAGGTCCTCGCCTGGCTGAGGGCCCGGAGCCAGAGGTGGCGAGCTGGCCACACTCCACACATCGCGGCTGACTTAGCCTTCCAGGGCCCTGGGCACTGCCTCGTCCACTCCTTGGGAGTTCATTCCCACACAGTAGGACTCTTCATTCTCTTCCAGGTCTATGTCCTAGCTCATGCCAAATTCAAAGTTGAGGGAGAAATGTGGGCTCAGCCTTGCCAGCTAGTGATTAGCCAGGCCACCAGCTCAAGGTCATACACACACACACACACACACACACACACACCTTTTTTTGGGTGTTTTTGAGACACGGTCTCACTGTGTAGTTTGGGCTGGCCTTAAACTCACTATGTGGCCTAGGCTGGCCTCGAACTTGCGATGATCCTCCTGTCTCAGCCTCCTGAGTGCTGGGATTACAGGCATATATCATCGTGCCTGGCACCCTTGTTAATCTTGGTGCTCTATGCACTGGTTCAGTCTGGTTTTTTTTTTGTTGTTGTTGTTCTTTTTGGTACCAGGGATCGAATTTGGGTCCTTGCACTTGCGAGGCAGGCGGTAGAACCACTGAATACCCCAGCCCCACCTGTCCAATCTGAAGCCTCAAGTTATCTTCAGTTTGAGTAACTGTCATGGTTTGTTTGTTTGTTTATTTTTGAGACAAAGTCTAGCTATGTACTTCAGGCTGGCCTTAAAATCACTATGTGGCCCAGTCTGGCTTTGAACTTGTGGTGAACCTCCTGCTTCATCCTCCCCAGTGCTTTGATTACAGGCATGTTCCACCATACCTGGAGCATATTTTTAGTCAGTGATATTAGAGTCTTTTCTCCAAGACTATGCTCTTCATATTTAGAGAAACTTCTCTAAAAATAGACTATAGAAATGAAGATAGTCTTGAGTTTGGGGAACCATTGTTTCTCACACTGTTCCTTTGATGTATCTTTTAAATTTCTTTAAGGATTTGCATGTGTTTAGTTCTGTTTCCTTTATCCTGGGGGCATCACAGGAAATTTTTAGAAAAGGCACCTTTGTTGTGTAATGCCCACATTCATTTTTCCACATTTAGCTTTTAGGAGTATGTTTTTTTTTTTTTTTTGAGACAAGGTCTTGGTATGTAGTT